TGGGTGGTCTCATTTTTTAGTCATATTTAAACGATGTATCATCAGCGCGTGCACATAAATATTTATTATAGTTTAATTTATGCTATCGTAGGGTACGATTACTAGCCGATTACTTGAAATTTGAATTTGAATAGAATTCCCCTGACAATTCCCGTACACGACGATACAACCTGTCCAGTCAATAGAAATTATCTCTCTCTCTATATATATATACACTTATTTCAATGAAGTTAGTCACCAAAAACCTAGAAAGCTGAGATTACTGAGCATCATGGGAAACTTTTCATATCAAAAAARCATATATATACAAAGCTTTTTAAATACAAACTGCAGCTCGATGATGCTCAGAAGAGGTGAGACTGTAATCGGTAAAAGATTCGCAAGTCCATGAACAGTTATCAAGCGGTTGAACGTTTGAAATGAATCTAACCATAATCCTTGTCGGCCTCAGCTTTATAGCTTTTTAGGTGACTAACTTTATTGAAATAAGTATATATATTCACCTGAAAAGCTATAAAGCTGAGGCCGACAAGGATTATGGTTAGATTCATTTCACACGTTCAACCGCTTGATAACTGTTCATGGACTTGCAAATCTTTTACCGATTACAGTCTCACCTCTTCTGAGCATCATCGAGCTGCAGTTTGTATTTAAAAAGCTTTGTATATATATGCTTTTTTGATATGAAAAGTTTCCCATGATGCTCAGCGATCCCAGCTTTCTAGGCTTTGGTGACTAACTTCATTGAAATAAGTGTATACATTTGATTGCAAAAAGGTTGTAGTATACATTTATATATATATCTAATGAGATGCAAGATATGATATCAAATGAGATGCGAAACTTAAAAAAGTAAATTATTTGGTCTTACTTATCTTCTATTGTATTAGAGACATAAGTATTGCACAAAGTCAAGTTAAAAAGTATTTTCCACAAAATGTCGTGGTTAAAGGGGCACTTGGATGAAAACGCCCCAATTTTTGAAAGTCCGAATAATTGAAGTATTTGTGGATAATATGATTCAATTATGATTAATGTAAACCAGATTAGTGAACATTTTAGCCTGGGAGCCACTTGCTATTGAGATATTTTGGTTTAAAAGCAAAAAGAACAATAGGGTTGGGTAAATGACGTCATTTACTCCAAATTTAGATGCTGCCAAAACTCATAATTTTTATCCGCTACATTTTCCTGTTAAGAAAGTATGTTGCTTGGCTACTATTGAGGCCATACAGATACGTATAACTAAGTTCAAAGTCATTTCCAATTTTTATCCATTTTCATCCAAGTGCCCCTTTAAGCAATCGTATTTAAGCATGTTTTACGTTTCGCATCTCATTTGATATCATATCTTGCATCTCATTAGATATATGCATAAATGTATACTACAACCTTTCTGCAAAGAATCGTTGTCAGGTTCAGAAACATAGAACATAGAAGCTGAGACCGAAATCTCACATGGGAAGTACGTTAATTAGATGCATGCCGTGACCGGTGACCCGTGGTTTCATCCACTGTTTTTAATACGCGTTTGGCTTTCTAAACCGACTGCATGGATGGCGCAAATGAATAAATTATAATATAATTATGTCATTTCCCATGTGCCATTTCGGGTTCAGCTGTTATGTTCTATGTTTCTGAACCCTACAACGATTCTTCAATAGCCCGCTTCCGAGATATGCTTTGCTTGTCACGCGCAAAGGTTTCAGTACGAGGCTACGTGCTAAATGCTCAGTCATTCATGACAAGCGGTAAGAATAAATTCAATTTAGCACATAGTCTCATACTGAAACCTTTGTGCGTGGCAAGCGAACCATATCTCGGAGGTGGGCTATTGAGTGTATATATATATAATGAAATAATATAATACAATGAAATAACTACTGATCATTGGACCGTCCAGCAATTCAATCACAGCACAATTCAAATCATGTGATGTTTACACTCCATGATTAATTGTTTCTTTATCTTTCTGAAATTCAGTTCATGGGAACATGAACTCGGTGTATTTTTAACGCAAGTAAATTAATTAATAAAAACCAGAGTTAAAAACGGATTGAGAGGTTTTTTGGAGTTCAAAATCTATTTATCTCTGCAAGCAGCACAAGTCGACAAATGTCATATTCACCTGTAGGTGAATACAACTTAGCATAAGACGCGACGTACATTTTGAAAAATATGAAAGAATTATATCCAACCTTCAAGGGTGTGTCTGCCGCATCCCCAGTGTCTGCTTTGCGGTTAAACTCGATTGTAGTTTTCCCATTAGATTCCATAGCACTGGTGAGCATCAGGTCTTGGGAGCTGTCTAATATTGGCTTTACTTCTGAAGTAGACCAGTAGTCCTGCAAATCATAAGAAAAAATAATTTTAACTGCACGACTCAAAAATTATCGTCTATTCAGTCCTAAGAGCAAAAACCAACCCGGACTTTTTGTGCTATTTGACTAGTATTTTTTATCTCACGGGTACGTCAAATGCCTTCACTCATTGCTGCTGCAAACCGCTGTTGATTGTTAAACTTCAGTGAAATGCAGACGGCGAATATGAATATGCATTGGACTCGCAATGTCTAACAAATCAATGCGAAAGTAAACACATTAAAAATACTAATATAACCAGAAAAAATTGATCTGAGGCACAATTTATCGCGAGATATTTATTTTTATTTAATTAGATGTTTATTTATTTATTAACTATAGAAATAATAATTTGAAGCGAAGGCAAGTTTCAAACGTAGTCGCATACCTTCAAATACGTTTCGTTCTCCTTCCTCACGCCTCCCAAAGCAATGTCGTAGTCTTTCATACCCTCTCCACCTTCATAGGTTGTGAACGCCAAACCTACCCAACCAGTGGTGTTGGCGACAACTTTGAAATAAAATCTATCTTCAGTTGTGTTGACATACCAGTGCACATCAAAAACGTTTTCTTTTAGGGTCAAGTGATTTGGATATGTGGTGCTTTCTGCACAAAAATATAAGGCTGCTATGAACACTAAGGTGACAAGAAACTTCATGGTAATGTGCGTTGAAAACTGCTTCAAATTTTGTTATTGGGTCTCAGTAGACTCAAGGCAGTTATCAGTTCGCACCAAAATCAATCTAGCTGAAGAGCAGAGTTTTGTCTTTAAAGCTTGTAAGCTCAGTGACGCAGTGATGGGGCGTATAAAATGCAAAGAACGTGCGTGATACGGGAAAAGACCATGACCGTATCTGAGCACAGCTCATGTGCTCGCGATCTGGTACGAGGGGTTTAGAGGGAGTTTGAGAATTTCTTTGCAGTATACAATGATAAACAAATTATCAGTAGGCCAAGCATCTGATACGGCTATGCATTTTTACTCGATTATCATTTGTATTTTGGCTCGTATGAAGGTTTGCCAAAATATTCCGTGACTCGTGAAAATACACAGCCGTATCATCAGATAACCTCTATTGATTCCAAGCGTAACGATGACCGTTCTCAAAGCAACATGGGTATAAATAGCAATCGTGTTTTTGGCATAAGCTATGGCATTTACACGATGAAGATTAGTATTCTTTATTTCTTGCTTGTGGCGAGAACCCATGATAGCAGCTGTTTTGATCTTGGTATCGCGGTTTTCGATACTCTGCGACTCTCAGATATTTTACAGTGCGAATCGAAAAACCATGGGCACCTAGAAATACTTCAAGAATGTTTAATAGCCAATCATAAGCGTTATTGTTATCTTTACGCTATCTTGTGGTTAGAAAGTTAATCAGTCTAAAAGAAGAATAGAACATTTCTAGGTGACAACGGTATTTCGATTCGCACTGTAACGTACGGAGCCCATTTTAGGGAGCGGTCATTAATTATTGGGGGGGAGGACCGGTAAATTATTTGAAACTAGGGATCAAAAATTTTGGCTCCACATAGAATTTGAGCCTAAAAATTTTGGCCCCCTCTGACAAGACAGCCCAAAAAATTACAGCCCTCCCCCTCCTATAAATAGCTTTAATTTTTGTATATAAATCTGGAACGTTGCAAACTATAAGCATACAT